GTGGCTGCCTGCGCCCCCCCCGCCCCCCCCCCCCCCACACACACACGTGCACTCAGTGCACGTCCGTAATGGGAGTAACCGCACTTCCAAGGAAGGTAGAAGTAAACTAGGGTACTCTTATCTGGATTGTACCTGGACGGGGTTAAGGAAGGTAGAAGTAAACTAGGGTACTCTTATCTGGATTGTACCTGGACGGGGTTAAGGAAGGTAGAAGTAAACTAGGGTACTCTTATCTGGATTGTACCTGGACGGGGTTAAGGAAGGTAGAAGTAAACTAGGGTACTCTTATCTGGATTGTACCTGGACGGGGTTAAGGAAGGTAGAAGTAAACTAGGGTACTCTTATCTGGATTGTACCTGGACGGGGTTAAGGAAGGTAGAAGTAAACTAGGGTACTCTTATCTGGATTGTACCTGGACGGGGTAAGGAAGGTAGAAGTAAACTAGGGTACTCTTATCTGGATTGTACCTGGACGGGGTTAAGGAAGGTAGAAGTAAACTAGGGTACTCTTATCTGGATTGTACCTGGACGGGGTTAAGGAAGGTAGAAGTAAACTAGGGTACTCTTATCTGGATTGTACCTGGACGGGGTTAAGGAAGGTAGAAGTAAACTAGGGTACTCTTATCTGGATTGTACCTGGACGGGGTTAAGGAAGGTAGAAGTAAACTAGGGTACTCTTATCTGGATTGTACCTGGACGGGGTTAAGGAAGGTAGAAGTAAACTAGGGTACTCTTATCTGGATTGTACCTGGACGGGGTTAAGGAAGGTAGAAGTAAATAGGGTACTCTTATCTGGATTGTACCTGGACGGGGTTAAGGAAGGTAGAAGTAAACTAGGGTACTCTTATCTGGATTGTACCTGGACGGGGTTAAGGAAGGTAGAAGTAAACTAGGGTACTCTTATCTGGATTGTACCTGGACGGGGTTAAGGAAGGTAGAAGTAAACTAGGGTACTCTTATCTGGATTGTACCTGGACGGGGTTTTGAGAGTTCTTCTACTTCCCCCCCCCCCTCCCCAACCTAATGGCTTGGCGCTTTCTCCTAACAATTCCCTTCCTTTCCTTTCTCCAAGCTCGGTCCGAGGCCGGGCTTGACTTGTGATAACTTGGTCCACCAGGCTGTTGTTTGGAGCGGCCCGCAGGCCCACATATCCACCAACAGCCTGGTTGGTCCGGCACTTCTGACAGAAAACTGTCCTTTTAGAATGTATATTATTATATCATTGATCTTACTTGAACCTTACTTCTATACCCACTATGGCAACATCGATCAACACCGCTCTCACAGGCCCAAGCAAATACCCACTCAACGTGTACACACGCAACATACGCACTAAACGATGTACGCACGCAACATACGCACTAAACGACGTGTAAGCACACAACATACGCACTAAACGACGTGTAAGCACACAACATACGCACTAAACGACGTGTAAGCACACAACATACGCACTAAACGACGTGTAAGCACACAACATACGCACTAAACAAGCAGTTGACGCCAAACTGCCTCACACACCAACACAAATGTGGCTACACCAAGTTGACCATAACCAAGCACACTGCGCCCCATCACAGTCGTTTAATTATCCCGACCTGTGGCCGACCACCCATCAATCTCTGCTGCCCAGCCTGGTCTCTGCTCCTGCCCTCTGCTCTCTTTATCACTATAATTATGTACCAGTGATAACACCATCCACTTGGTGATACCAGCATTGTTACCCGTCTCGATGCTGCCCTCTCCAACTGGTGGGACTGCCTCGCCCTCACCAGACCTCCAGGAGAGGTCCTGGAGCCTCGCCCTCACCAGTCCTCCAGGAGAGGTCCGCAGCCCTCGCCTACATAGAACTAATGTAGTGGCCAGTACCAGTTGGAGTCACGGTGACAGCTCTTGCAATTTCCTCTGGCGCTGTATACATGTAATTCAATACCAGACACAAAAGTATTACAAAGCGTAGTACCAAGGATCTCAAGAGGGTATAGGCAGCACACAGTGTGCATACAACAACGTTCCTTAATACATCTTTATCACTGGAGGCTTCGTAGACAATAGTAGGAGTCAGACAGGAAAGGACGGAGCTCTATCGTACAGCAAGAGTCATCTTTAGGACGAATTCAAGCGAGCTGGAAAATTAACCACCCAGTCACTTGAAAAAAATTAGGAGTTTCCCAAGAGCCCACGGTTGTGTCCTTGGGGTCACCGCTCCACAGTAAGGTGGTGTTCTAGTGGAAAGCTCGGCTTCTACGACGACTTACAGTCATATCCTAGAAGTGACTGTACTAACAAGTCACTAAATACAGCTCCTAAGATGGCCTTGCGTCTATTGATCTCAGCTCGAATCAAAAGTTTAATCAGGGACATTGTTAACCTAACAGTCCGCCAGCAAGTCCAAGTCAGCAGGGACAAATTAAAAATAATTCCTTCCCAACTACGACACCGCTGGATTTCATATTTTATTCAGGGTGTTTTGCTAAGTGAGTTGGGCCGGCCAGCTGGCGGGCTCCCCAAGCTGGTTCACACTAGCACCTTGCACGCTGCTGCACCCGAGCAACACGAGTGATCATGAGAGAGAGAGAGTGTGGCTAGACACACACCAAGAGGCTGCAGGAACATCGCTAATGATGACTCCTGCACTAAACTTGTCGTTATAAAACTTGTTTCTCGGGGCCACGGAGGAGACGACCGAGGACCATTTAGGAGGACGGGGACCATAGAGGTCTCCGTCCCGTATGGGAGACCATGGAGGTCTCCGTCCCGTATGGGGGGACCATGGAGGTCTCCGTCCCGTATGGGGGGACCATGGAGGTCTCCGTCCCGTATGGGGGGACCATGGAGGTCTCCGTCCCGTATGGGGGGACCATGGAGGAGGAAGACGGGGCCCACGGAGAACTGAAGCTTCGCAGATATACGAGCATCGTAGTTATCAGTGGAAGATCATTGCCGTCTGTGATCTTGGGTATCGCAGTTATCAGAGCGAGATTGTCGTTGACCTTGGGAGGTATCGTTCAAGTAAACGCATGAAGTGCCCGTCTCATTTCTTTGGGTTTACCTTGTATTGGTTCAGGGGATCAATATCACCACGGGCCCGGTCTCTTATCAGACCTCCTGGTTGGTGGTCTGGTAAACCAGGCTGTCGATATGTATTTTGTCCTTGTCTAGAAGGTATCAATAAATTTTGTGAATCGTGTCATGGTTCCTTTCCATCCTTCTTTTCTTGCTCTATCTACCTTTATTCGCTTCCTTTCACCCCCCCCCCCCTACACTATCCCTTCTCCATTTCTTAACCCTTCACTCATGGTTTCCCCCCTTCCATCAGTTCTCTAAAATGACCCCATACACCCCCCCCCTCTACACTCAACCCCATCCGTCCCCCTCCCCCCCTCCAACACTCAGTACACCTCTTGTCTTACACCAGGATTAATTTAAATATTTTATATGCGCGCGAGCACGACAGATGAGCGCACAATGACTCATCAATTGTTAATGAAAATCCAATCATTTATTTAGCTGGCGCATGCGCGCTGGGGCCCGCGGCGGGCGGTGTCGGCGGCGGCGGCGGGCCTCCGCCTTCCGGAACACCTAATTGCAAATCCTTTTAGGAACAGTGGCATTCACCAATCCGGTGAGAGGGGGGGGGGGGAGGGGGGAGAGGGGGGGAGAGGGGGGAGAGGGGGGAGAGGGGGGAGAGGGGGGGGAGAGGGGGGAGAGGGGGGGGAGGGGGGGAGAGGGGGGAGAGGGGGGGAGAGGGGGGGAAAGGGGGGGAGAGGGGGGGAGGGGGGGGAGAGGGGGGGAGGGGGAGGAGGGGGGGGAGAGAGGGGGAGGGGGGGGGGGGGGGAGAGGGGGGGGAGGGGGGGGGAGAGGGGGTGGGATGGGGGGGGGGGGTGAGAGGGGGGGGGAGAGGGGGTGGGGGGAGAGAGTGGTGGTGTGGGGGTGAGAGGTGGGGTGTGCGAGGGAGGTGGGGTGAGAGGGGGTTGGGGAGTCCTGCAGCCCAAGACCAAACTCCCGTTAAAAGCTATGCCTACACTGCCGCTACGACTGTGTTGTAATGGCGCCTCCCCCCCCCCCAGGAGCTGACCTAATCTTACACCCCTCTCCCCCCCCCCCCCACGAAGAGGTTCCGCCTTTTCGGTCCCGACTGCCACTCCCCTAAACCTCACCTGTCGTGCGGTGGTTCCGGGACACTCTTGCTCCCGCGGCCCGCCTACCGTCCCGGCCAAGGCCATATCCCATCTCGACTCGCCCAAGTCTCAAGTCTGGAGAACGACTCGTCTAGCTCCTCCGTCTCTCCCTCTCGCCATGAAAAATGACTTCATATCCAGCTGGTCTCTTCCTTACCCCTACCCTCCCCCTCCCCCTCCCCCCACTCTCCAATCCCCATTCCCCACCATTCCATGCTGCCACCGACCCGGCACCTCCCCTCCCCCCCCCCCCCCCCCCCCTCCCCCAACCAGCAGCAGCATCATGATGCGTATTGAGGCGCAAGCAAGATCTAATTCCCCACTCACAGCATATGCTGCCAGGCCCCCTCCCCCCTCCCCTCACCCCCACCCCTCCATCCCCCCCACCCCAAGCAGACGAGGGGGAAAAAAAAAGTCTCCAGCAATCAAGAAAGTTGGTTATAATGCATGCTGAGCTAATTAAGCCTCCTAATTATATATTTATTAACAGTCTGTGCAACGCAAATGGCGACTTATTTGCAACGTTAATGACAAGAAACTGCAACTGCAAGCCTTTAGGGTCATTCCGAGGCGGAAATGACAGAAATGGAACTCGTGTCCTGATTTCTCGGCTCCGAGAAAATTATGTTGTTGCAAGTGTGTGTCAGCAGGGGGGGAAAAGGCTTCCAGGGTCCATACATCTGTAAGCCCCCACCCCCACACCTGTCACCTCACCCCCCCCACCCATACACACCTGCAGCCCCTCCCAAACACTGGCAGCCCAAACCTGTTCCCCTCCCCACACACACACACACACTGGCATCCCAAACCTGTCCCCCCCCCACACACACACTGGAAGCCCAAACCTGCCCCCCCCCACACACACACACTGGCAGCCCAAAACCTGTCCCCCCCAACACACACACACACACACTGGCAGCCCAAACCTGCCCCCCCCCACACACACCCCTGCAGCCCATTCCAAACACTGGCAGCACACATCTATCCCTCACACACACACACACACACACACACACACACACACACACACACACACACACACACACACACACACACACACACACACACTTGTCTTCACCCCTCATCCCCCCCCCTTTCCCCGAGACAGAAACCCCCTATTACTCCAACACAGCCCCCTCCCCCCAACCTAAATACCCCCACCGTTTATATTGGTCCTTTTCATTCCCCCCCCCCCACACCTCCCCTCACAACCACAATCACTAACTTACCATCGTTTTCCCTCATCTTCCGAACACAGCTGTAGGTATCGTTCGACTTGTATTCGTTAATTAATTTCCTGTACGGTTGAAATTATACACAGCTCCGTTTTCTATGATTCGCTCACGTCAGAGGAAAATTAATTATTTCACACTGAGGTGTATTGGAAGCAGAAGTCCTTGTTTAGACCTGTGTGTGTGTGTGTGTGTGAGAGAGAGAGAGAGAGAGAGTGAGAGAGAGAGAGAGAGAGAGAGAGAGAGAGAGAGAGAGAGAGAGAGAGAGAGAGAGAGAGAGAGAGAGAGAGAGAGAGAGAGAGTGAGTGAGAGTGAGTGAGTGAGAGTGAGTGAGTGAGAGTGAGTGAGTGAGAGTGAGTGAGAGTGAGTGAGAGTGAGTGAGAGTGAGTGAGAGTGAGTGAGAGTGAGTGAGAGTGAGTGAGAGTGAGTGAGAGTGAGTGTGAGTGAGAGAGTGAGTGAGAGAGTGAGAGTGAGAGTGAGAGAGTGAGAGTGAGAGAGAGTGAGTGAGAGAGAGAGAGAGAGTGAGTGAGAGAGAGAGTGAGTGAGAGTGAGAGAGTGAGTGAGAGTGAGAGAGTGAGTGAGAGTGAGAGAGAGAGTGAGTGAGAGACAGAGTGAGTGAGAGAGAGAGTGAGTGAGAGACAGAGTGAGTGAGAGACAGAGTGAGAGACAGAGTGAGAGACAGAGTGAGAGAGTGAGAGAGAGAGAGTGAGAGAGAGAGAGAGAGACAGAGTGAGAGACAGAGTGAGAGAGAGAGTGAGAGACAGAGTGAGAGACCCCCAAGTCCCTCTGAGCAACTTTTTATGACCCTGATACACAAAATGATATTTGATGTCTGGAGCCCCACACGCCCACTTCATTAAAAGTTGTATCCCTTTGATATAGAAATCAATTAAAACTATTCTTGCAGTTCCTTCACTTGCGTTACACCCACTCGTAGACACCCTCCTCCGGGGGGACGGGGGGCGGGGGGGGGGGGGTGAGATTAATCATAAAATTATACCTTCTTATGACCAATCGTTGCGTGGTAGAGGTCTTCAGCTGTCGCACGCGACGGTGATCGCGTTCACTGTGGCTTAATTAATGAACCTGAACCCCTGTTCACCGTGGCTTAATTAATGGCCCCTTAACGACCGTTCACTGTGGCTTAATTAATGGCCCTTAACGACCGTTCACTGTGGCTTAATTAATGGCCCTTAATGACCGTTTCACTGTGGCTTAATTAATGGCCCTTAATGACCGTTTCACTGTGGCTTAATTAATGGCCCTTAACCACCGTTTCACAGTGGCTTAATTAATGGCCCTCAACCGCTGTTCACTGTAGTTAACGATCCTTAAGCACCGTTTACTGTGCCTGAACGATCCACAACCACACTCCAGGTAAACGACTCCAGCCTCCTGTCTAGGCCTACGTCTTCACGGGACAACCGGGGACACACACACACACACACACACACACACACACACACACACACACACACACACACACACACACACGGGAAGAGGAACAATGAATAAATCGAACAAAGCTTGAACACTACGGATAGTGGACACCAGCTTTGTGTAAGGCGAGAAAAAAGCTAGAACAGCAGCAGCCGACGACGCCAGTAGCACTAACTACAGCTGAGAGAGAGAGAGAGAGAGAGAGAGAGAAAGAGAGAGAGAGCATGATGACCAAACCACACATCAGAAGATGGAGAAACTAAGACGTTTCGGTCCTGTCCTAGACCATTTTCAGGCCGTAAGTGTGACCCTCGGACACCAGGCCGGTAGTAAGTTAACCCCCAGGAGAAAACGCTACGTCGGTACGACTTCGAGCGGCTACGAGGACAGGGATCTGGGACAGGACGGTGAGGAGTGAAAACATTGATTATGACTTTGGACTATCTAATGCAGTTATTAGAAACATACAAATTAAAGAAATTAATTCAGATTTAGAAGAACTAAGAAATGCACAGAGACCTGAAAGCTGCAGTATTAAAAGTTATGACAAGTTCTGTAATAATAGGTATTTGTATGGTCAGCACAGTAACCGGACCAGGCAATGTGATGTAGTAATTGCGCGAATTCGCCTTGGCTATAGACACATCTGGCAGGTTAGTGAGGCTGAGCCACTACCAGAATATTCAGATTGTAAACTCTGTGATAAACCTTTAATGCATTCACTAGAACACTATATTGATGAATGTGAAACCGTAAAGGACTTTAGACCTTCTGGCCTATTGTACCACCAACTGTGTAACTATTTTATTGACTCAGGTGTTCTGGACGACATCCTAACAATTTACCCAAAATTTGCTTGTCCATTTTAAAGAATGAAGAACAATTTCTACTTATATTCTAAGCTGCATCACTTATGAACCCATCCCTGCCCTTGTGTGGCAGTGCACAATAGAAAGTTGTTTTCACATATCCACACATTAAAACATTGATTGTAACCGTGATATATATGTGCTTCAGCCTACAGTTTAGACCTATTGTCTTATGTATGACCCTCTGTCCTGCGTGACAGTGAATACTAGCATTAACCTCAATTTAATAAGACTATCAAAATCCTCAGATTAGGCAAAATTGTAATTAATTTTGTCAATAAAGATGTTAATAATAATATGATGCCCAACCACCTCAACCACAGGGGAGGGGACGGGCGACACGGCAAGAATGAAAGCCATCGCACCAAGTCCTGATAGATTCTTTATCTACTTCCCTCCACTTCATCTTATCTATTAAGACGCAGGTCTAATACAGTATAGTATAATCGCGCCTCCATGTCTGTGCACCCTGCTCCAGGGGGCCAGATTATCTTAACTTCACCTTTATATAAAAAAAAGTTAAATACCATTAAAATATGGTAATTCTATATATTGATAGACAGTCTACACTAGAGATCTCGGGAGCCATTATCACCACTAGCTCCACCACCTCACAAGCCATGGCAAAGAAATTGAAATAGGTTTATTGAGGTCAAATACACACAAAGGGATGAGGTAGCTCAAGCTATTCTCACCCCGTTCAGCGATGGTCAGGAAACGACTACGGGCGGGCAGGCGGGCTGGCTGGCTGGCTGGCTGGCTGGCTAGTGGCTGGCTGGCTGGCTAGTGGCTGGCTGGCTGGCTAGTGGCTGGCTGGCTGGCTAGTGGCTGGCTGGCTGGCTAGTGGCTGGCTGGCTGGCTGGCTAGTGGCTGGCTGGCTAGTGGCTGGCTGGCTGGCTGGCTGGCTAGTGGCTGGCTGGCTGGCTGGACCAACATCTCCACTCATTAACATCCTTCAGAGGGCGCTAAAAAGTCAACTTACCAGTTTTATGGTAAAGAAGTAGCTACACAACCCGGATCAACACCACATTAGAGCAAGCAGGGAGAACCCGTTTCTAGCAACTACTCAAATAATTTAGTGTTTGATAAATAATTCGTGTGGCGCCGTAACAGAGAGGTCATTGGCGCCGAATATATGCAATATGCATCTATTTTTTTGTTTACAAACGCAACTCGTCTTCCCATTAGGAAGAGTCAAACCTGAGGGGATAGGGCTCTGTGACTCCATCCCCCCCCCCCCGCACCTCTCTCTCTCTACTCCAAACAAAATGGGTTTCTTTCACGCCAGGTAGTAAAATATCATTTTAAAAGTGATAAAAGTATAAATTATAAAGTATAAAAGTATAAAGTATTAGGTATTTTGATCATTACGACAAAATCCCAAAAACAATAGATTGGCCTGAATAGAAAGACAAATATATATAACAAGTAACATGCCATGATGGACATTAGAAGTTCTAACTGATTGAAAATAATATTTTTTTTTTGTCCCGAAAGGCGAGAATTTGAGCCGCGTCACTCATCCTGTGGTGTGAACGCACCGCCATAGTGACAGTATTGGCCAGCGTTACTCATTCTGTGAGTGGGGACTCACAACATGGAAACTCACGCACGCAACATGGGAACTCACTCACGTAACATGGGAACTCACGCAGGCAACATGGGGTGCCACACCTCTGAACTTTCCCGAGAAACTGGCACTCTCTCGCCGGGACACACCTGTCACTACACCAGAACCGTCTCAACACACACCTGCGGTGTCTTGGAACAAAGAAGGAAGAAGAAAAGGAAGGAAGAAGAAAAGGAAGGAAGAAGAAAAGGAAGGAAGAAGAAAAGGAAGGAAGAAGAAAAGGAAGGAAGAAGAAAAGGAAGGAAGAAGAAAAGGAAGGATGAAGAAAAGGAGGGAAGGGAAGGACAGAAGGGAAGGAGGGAAGGGAAGGGGAGAGAGGGGGAGAGAAAGAGGGGAAGGGAGGGGAGGAGAGAGGGGGAGGGAGGGAGAGGGAGGGAGAGGAGAGGGGAGGGGTGCGGTGGGGGGGGGGGGGGGAAGAGCGCATGTAACCCTCGAGAGCAAGACTACCTACCTGTTGTCCATCTGTTGGCGGTTCCGGGGATCAACGTCCCCGCGGCCCAGTCTCTGACCAGGACTTCTGGTTCCGTAGTCTGGTTTAGAAGGCTGTTGTTGGACGCACCAGCTCGCAGCCTGACGTGCGCATCACAGCCAAGTTGATCGAGTCCGCTCTCAAGAGCAAGACAGTGATTACTTACCTTGCGCACTACGGGCTCACCATAGCCCGTGCTACTTGGAACATTTTGCTTCAAGTAGCGAATCTTAAACAACAATAATCTACCTTGTGTATAATTTCAATGCAAGAGCTCTCTTGGTGCCCAAAAGAGAACTTGATAAACACCTCCAAAGGATAACCCGATCAACCAGGCTGTGAGTCAAACTGCAGGCTGCGAGCAGCTGCCTCTAACAGCTTGCTTGTCCAGACCACCAAACCGGGAGGCCTGGTCAGAGACCGGGCCGCGGGGATACCTTGATCCTTGGAACCAATGCAAAATTAACCGCCAGTAGTAGGGGCAGAGAACGCCGTGTGAACATCAGAGAACGCCGTCAGAACATCAGTGAACGCCGTGTGAACATCAGAGAACGCCGTGTGAACATCAGAGAACGCCGTCAGAACATCAGAGAACGCCGTGTGAACATCAGAGAACGCCGTGTGAACATCAGAGAACGCCGTCAGAACATCAGTGAACGCCGTGTGATCAGAGAACGCCGTCAGAACATCAGAGAACGCCGTCAGAACATCAGAGAACGCCGTGTGAACATCAGAGAACGCCGTGTGAACATCAGAGAACGCCGTGTGAACATCAGAGAACGCCGTCAGAACATCAGAGAACGCCGTGTGAACATCAGAGAACGCCGTGTGAACATCAGTGAACGCCGTGTGAACATCAGAGAACGCCGTCAGAACATCAGAGAACGCCGTCAGAACATCAGAGAACGCCGTGCGAACATCAGAGAACGCCGTGCGAACATCAGAGAACGCCGTGTGAACATCAGAGAACGCCGTCAGAACATCAGAGAACGCCGTGTGAACATCAGAGAACGCCGTGTGAACATCAGAGAACGCCGTGTGAACATCAGAGAACGCCGTGTGAACATCAGAGAACGCCGTGTGAACATCAGAGAACGCCGTGTGAACATCAGAGAACGCCGTCAGAACATCAGAGAACGCCGTCAGAACATCAGAGAACGCCGTGTGAACATCAGAGAACGCCGTCAAAACATCAGAGAACGCCGTCAAAACATCAGAGAACGCAGTCAGAACATCAGAGAACGCAGTCAGAACATCAGAGAACGCAGTCAGAACATCAGAGAACGCAGTCAGAACATCAGAGAACGCAGTCAGAACATCAGAGAACGCCGTGTGAACATCAGAGAACGCAGTCAGAACATCAGAGAACGCCGTGTGAACATCAGAGAACGCCGTGTGAACATCAGAGAACGCCGTCAGAACATCAGAGAACGCCGTCAGAACATCAGAGAACGCAGTCAGAACATCAGAGAACGCAGTCAGAACATCAGAGAACGCCGTGTGAACATCAGAGAACGCCGTGTGAACATCAGAGAACGCCGTGTGAACATCAGAGAACGCCGTCAGAACATCAGTGAACGCCGTGTGAACATCAGAGAACGCCGTGTGAACATCAGAGAACGCCGTGTGAACATCAGAGAACGCAGTCAGAACATCAGTGAACGCCGTCAGAACATCAGAGAACGCCGTCAGAACATCAGAGAACGCAGTCAGAACATCAGAGAACGCAGTCAGAACATCAGAGAACGCAGTCAGAACATCAGAGAACGCCGTGTGAACATCAGAGAACGCCGTCAGAACATCATAGAACGCCGTCAGAACATCATAGAACGCCGTGTGAACATCAGATCACTGTGTGAACACTAAAGAACACGGTGAACATCAGAGCGCGTGACTGTTCGAACTTACACCAGCAAATGCTATAAATGTTATCAAAACTAAGGCAGAAGTTTCGACAAATGAAGCAGACAAGCTCCTAAATAACGTGTGATAAGCCAGGCTGTGATGACAACGACAGACACGCAACAGGCTCAAAAGGTGACTTTACTGAAATCCTGCAATGGCTTTATCAAAGTGTGATCAGGAGCTGAGCCCTGTGATCAAGTCGCCCGGGAAGCTTAGCCTTAAGACCAACAGCAAGAGCAGAGAAAAAAAGCCTTAGATCATATGGAAAACAAAACAAAAAACTGTATAGACGCCGTCAGTACAGAGACGGTATCTGCGCGACGGCGTCAAGTGACGGGAAGACAGCCACCGCACCAACCAGCAGAGACAGGCGTGACAAATGCCACAGTCCCAGAGCTGAAGTTCGATTTAGCAGGCAGCAAGAGGAGGGCAAGAGTGTCTCTTCCAAAGAGTCAAGCAAGAGACACCAGCAGCAGGAGTAGGAGCCGCAGCAGCAGGGGGAGTAAGAGCAGCAGCAGCAGGTGGAGCAGCAGGAATAGCAGCAGGAGCAGCAGCAGCAGCAGCCGTAGTTATCCCTAGCAGCAAGAATACGAGAGTTAATTACTTGTTGGCACTTGATCGGTCGACAAGTGTCACGTATTATTTCTGCAGGCAAGTGTTTGAGAGCAAATGAATGGCCGGCTCTGCCGAGAGCTGCGAGTGCCGGAATAATGAGCTCAAACTATTAAGCAAATAAAGCAATATCTAGCAAGTGCCATCGATGCTGATGGCTCCGTGGCGTGGAGCGGGCCGGCACACGTCGCCCTTATTACAGGTGAGCCGGGCCAAGCGAGGCTAAATGAAGCACACCGGCGCTAAGTGGCAGGCTTTGGCTGGCCGAGGCAAAAGTGGGCCTCGCCAGGCACTGATATACTAGGTCAGGGGGGGGGGTTGGGGTCAGGGGAGGCCTGGGGCCAGGGGGGGGGGCTGGGGCCAGGGGGGAGGGCTGGGGCCAGGGGGGGGGGGGGGGGGGCTTTCCAATGGTTCTCAGATAATGGGGTAAGGGAATAGGTATGGTCAGAAGTGGAAGAAAATGGAATAGGGGCACGTAAGAAGAAAAATTAAGAAACGGAAGGATAAAAAGGAAAGAGGAGGAAAGATACGGAATGAGAAAAGGAACTTTCCTCGCCTTCAACGAGAAGGACTGAGTCCTTGTTCTAGAAGGAGAACACTGGGAAATTTTACATTATATATATAACTTTTAATTCTCCTTGGGAACCAAGGAGCCGAGGTGCTCCTAGGGCACTAGAAGCACTCTACCTCCTGAATAGAAGACAGTCGCTCTATCATCTGGGCTACTGAGCTAGCCTTAAAAGGGAAGGATCACTGGGCAACTAACTGCTACCCAATGGAACTTGCATCTCCGGGCTACCACTCCAGCACAAGAGAACTAGGTGATCCACACCCTGAGCAAATTAAACTGATAGAGCGACTGTCTCTCAAGTCGGGTGGAACTTAGGACAGCTGATACCATGACCATGAACTTACGACATAACCGAGACCAAGTTAGCGCTAGTCTACCGCCGCAGAAACACCGGTTGGGCGCAGGGCAACACCAATACTTAGGCCCCGATGCTCCAGGCGGGTGCCCAAGGCGGAATTAGGGACAGCCAACAAAGTCCCCAGCATGGGGCGCTTGTACAGCAAGGAGGTAGGCTTTGTCCTTCCCAGAAGCTGCGTCCACCAATGTTGTGACAAAGCTTTCCGCCGTGGTGTTATCCCAGTTGGCCTGCTTGCAGTCGATTGGGAAAGTTGGTCGCGGATGAAAGTTTGCAAGTGTGTCACACTGGATGCCTCCTTCAGTGAATTTGGGATCATATATATCCCAATGGTGTCTTTAAGTACTCTGATATCGATATACACACTATATACATTAAGTGCATATATTATTATAATATATATATATATATATATATATATATATATATATATATATATATATATATATATATATATATATATATATATATATATATATATATACGCAAGGCATAAAGAAAGTTTTCATGAATTAATGTGTAACAAGAACCTGTGGCACAATCCAGGTGATAAATCACAACACAGATCCGTATCAGTGAGGGAAGGGGCAGAGGATGGACTAAACCCTTGTGTGGGAGGGTTGGGATGAAGGCAATATACGAGGGGGACGGGTGAACCAAGAACCTCTGGCAATAAATCACAACGCGTGGAGGGGAGTGTATGGAAGGGGTGAGGGGAGGGTGCGGAAGGGGGAGGGGAGTGTGCGGAAGGGGGAAGGGGAGTGTGCGGGGGGAGGGGGAAGGGGAGTGTGCGGAAGGGGGAAGGGGAGTGTGCGGAAGGGGGAAGGGGAGTGTGCGGAAGGGGAAGGGGAGTGTGCGGAAGGGGGAAGGGGAGTGTGCGGAAGGGGGAAGGGGAGTGTGCGGAAGGGGGATGGGGAGTGTGCGGAAGGGGGAAGGGGAGTGTGCGGAAGGGGGAAGGGGAGTGTGCGGAAGGGGGAAGGGGAGTGTGCGGAAGGGGGAAGGGGAGTGTGCGGAAGGGGGAAGGGGAGGGAATACTCACACACTCGCGTTTCCGGGAGTTAAGCTCCAGCTCTTTGGTCTCGCCTCTCAATCATCCATCAACTAACGCAAGCATTTTGAGGTTATCCACATTACATAAGAATATTTCCTTAGACCTCTCTAATTCATTTGCGTGTCTCATTTTCGTCTGTGTTCTTTCGTATTATTTGATCTCATTTGAAAGAAACTTATCCTACCCAAAACTGTTCTCTTCCTCTCGGTATTTTGAATGTATTTATCATGTCTCCTCTGATCCTTCTCTCCTCAAAAAATGACGAGGTTTAATTTCGGGGAGTAAAGCCGGGTTGCAAGCATGTGGACCATTCCAGTGCTCACTTCTTAGTTCACAAGAGTCTACCGAAGACTGTTTATACAGTCCTGAAAGTGTGTTTATGTTTTTAAAAGTTATGTGCGGCAGCTTCCCATATGCCGCTGATGCTATTCTATTATATGCATTTTGTCTATTCTCAAGGCTGAGGTTACCGGCTCACTATAGCCCGTGCTACGTGGAAATTATGTTCCGAGCAGCTGAATCTAAAACAACAACTCAAACCTGCCTACCTACTTCCCAGTCAGGCAGCCAGCCAGGCAGCCAGTCAGGCAGCCAGTCAGGCAGCCAGTCAGGCAGCCAGTCAGGCAGCCAGTCAGGCAGCCAGTCAGGCAGCCATCCAGCCAGCCAGCCAGCCAGCCAGCCAGCCAGCCAGCCAGCCAGAGTAGCCAACCAGGCAGCCAGCCAGAGTAGCCAGCCAGCCAGCCAGCCAGCCATATCAGCCAGCCAGCCAGCCAGCCATAGCAGCCAGCCAACCAGCCATAGCAGCCAGCCAGCCAGCCAGCCAGCCAGCAGCCAGCCATAGCAGCCAGCCATAGCAGCCAGCCAGGCAGGCAGCCAGGCAGGCTGGCAGCCAGGCAGGCAGGCAGCCAGGCAGGCAGGCAGCCAGCCAGCCAGCAGGCAGGCAGGCAGGCAGGGCAGGCCAGGCAGGCAGGCAGCCAGCCAGCCAGCCAGCCAGCCAGCCAGCCAGCCAGCCAGCCAGGCAGCCATAGCAGCCAGGGAGCAAGCTTCATATAAGCCACATGATATATGCAACATGTAATTACTATAATCCAGTTACCATGAGAGCCTAACTTTTCCCAATCTAGTTACAGGGTCGAATTCCCAAAGTCGTTACTTGAGGGTTGAAGGCCGCTTGGGGGGTACACGTCTTGGGTGGAACCGACTTCAAAACTCACGGGTCACAAGCACTCTTCTCATCACACTTTGATATGTGCAACAGTTGACTAATTCCCCGACCCCGATTTTGGGGAGCCGGTCGGCCGAGCGGACAGCACGCTGGACTTGTGATCCTGTGGTCCTGGGTTCGATCCCAGGCGCCGGCGAGAAACATTGGGCAGAGTTTCTTTCACCCTATGCCCCTGTTACCTAGCAGTAAAATAGGTACCTGGGTGTTAGCCAGCTGTCACGGGCTGCTTCCTGGGGGTGGAGGCCTGGTCGAGGACCGGGCCGCGGGGACACTAAAGCCCCGAAATCATCTCAAGATAACCTCAAGATAACCCCACCAGTTACCAGGGTTGGGGAAGGGTGGAGGTGTCATACACGGGAGCAGATGGGGAAGAATGGGGAGACATTGGGAAGGTGAGATGGTGGTTAGGGAAAGGAGGATGAGGAGAAAAGGGGTTTAAGGTGACGAGAGAGGAGAGGAGAGGAGGGCCTTGGAAGAATGACTGGGAAGGAAATGGCAGGTGAGGTGAGGAGGGGATTAGGAATGAAGAGGGGGGTTAATATGGGATGGAAACTATTTAAGGAAGGAAACATTGTGGAGGTACATAACTACGAGGGAAGTTGTCGGTAACAGGGCAAGGGAGGTGAGGGGAAAAAGAAAGAGAGAGGAGGGGTGACGGGGGGGGGGGATGACGAGAGGGGGGTGACGAGGGGGAGTGAGAGAGGGGTGGAGGGAGTGACGAGGGGGGGAGGAGTGACGAGGGGGGGGGAGTGACGAGGGGGAGTAGTAACGAGGGGGAGTGACGAGGGGGGGGGGGGGGGTGACGAGGGGGGGAGTGATGAGGGGGGAGTGACGAGGGGGGGGAGGTGACGAGGGAGGGGGAGTGACGAGGGAGGGGGGTGACGAGGGGGGGGGGTGACGAGGGGGGGGGGAGTGACGAGAGGGGGGGGAGTGATGAGAGGGGGGGAGTGACGAGAGGGGGGGGAGTGATGAGAGGGGGGGGAGTGACGAGGGGGGGGGAGTCTCGAGGGGGGAGAGTGACGAGGGGGGGAGAGTGACGAGGGGGGGGGAGTGACGAGAGGGGGGAGTGACGAGAGGGGGGGAGTGACGAGAGGGGGGGGGAGTGACGAGAGGGGGGGAGTGACGAGAGGGGGGGGGGAGTGACGAG